CTCTTTATATGGGTGATCCGCCCCCTCCAAGAGGACTTCGACCCCTTCCAGCGCATTTTAGAGGTAGGTTTTGAAATTAAAGACATTTCCTATAAACTTTAGTTGGGCTGGGGCATGTTTTGACCGCCTAATGACCAAGTAGTTGAAACCCTGCCTGGACTGTTGCTTGCTTTAAGCGCGATTTTGTGATGACTGTTGGACCAGTGCGGTTGCCGACTGGATTACTCGGGCCGTCAAATGAACATTAGTCCTACATTCGATGGTCAGACTCTCTTTGAAAGCTTTGAACGAAGGGAATGATTACTTACGCGCCCCACGAGTAAGGAAACCCGCTGAGGTACTCTGGTGGGAACGAATGGAGTCGGTGTTACCGCCCAAGCTAAGAACTCAGCGAGATCAGGACGATAGATTATATTTCCTATAATGCGTGAACCTAGCAAAAGCACACTAACTTGGAATGCTGTCGTAGTCCAGTCCTCGTAGGGTATCGCTGTGAGGAACTTCACAGCTTAACGTGCAAGCGGAGTGATCTTTTTCTCAACGATAGGGCTTCCGCTTGTTGAAGTGGTAGAATGTTCATGTAAAAATGTCCTTTATACTATTTGTGCCTTTCAACCTCGAGAGGTTTTGCGCCGAACATTCAGTCTTAGCAAGTACAGCTGCTATTCCATGTCAGCATTGTACATATCTTGGGGTCGTAGAATTCACTCGGTAGACAATTAAAGAATGTGCAGAAAGTTCCAATGTTGCAGCATTATCTTCGTTCAGAAAAATGTGAAATCAAGGAATTTTTCAGTTTTCATGGAGAGAACTTGTGCAGTGAAGTGTCTGACATTGCGCGTTTAGATTCCGGTTATCATGAGCGATGGAGAAGGCAAGGAATTTATGGTACATTTTGCTGACGATCGTGATATGGAGAATATCGAAGAGGAACTCGAACTCGGAGTCGGAAACGTGAGGGATTCTATACACATGTTTTGACTTGTGCTTCTCTTTTTTTCTCTTTTTCATCTGCTTGGGAGATTATTTCCGGAACTGGACAACCATAGTTTTAATCTGCCTCTCGGACAGATTGATTCCTTTGACTTTTGCGTTCTTCATGTTTTCACTCATCACTCTCAGGCTCAGCTTACTTCAACTGATCAATAGAGTAACCTCCTTTCATTTAAGATCAATTAATTTCATCCCTTAGATATCTGTAATTGGTGTTTGTTCAGAAGAATAAAAACGCTGACTTGTACAAAACATGAGATAAACTTCTAAAGAATGTCATCTGGAGGGATAATACCTGTAGGGTTTGTTTGCTGAAAGTAGGGTTCCTATTTGGCCGCATTCTATAGGTGTTGCTAACAAGTGCTTGTCAAGATATGTTTGACCTTTGACGACAGCGCGCATTCTGACCTTTTTGGCCACGTGGGACACAAGCAGTTTGGCGAGTTTGGGACGCACAATCGCGTCTCGCTGTACAGCAAGGTGCTTTTTTCAGAGCTTAGCACCGAAAGTATCTGAACAAGAGTACAACGGGAGTTGGGAGAGGAGATCAGTGGTGATAGCCTTCGGCGCCCTTAAAGCGAGATGGTAATAACATTGGTGCAAAAAAGGGCTCTAAACTAACATTATATAGACAGTACTGGAGAGTAGTACTGGAGAAAGGCCGCTTGCAAATTAAATACGCTCGTCTACATCATTTTCTAAAGGGCGCATGCAAACTGCGCACAGCGTCGCCGACTCGAACTTCTTATCAACTTGCAAAAAGCTCGAAACGAGCACATTTGGCATCTGTGTTCAAGCTTATCTAAGCATTTTATGGGCCACGGCGGTTATACTTAGGTTGCTGCGTGTACAGAAACAAGACAAACAATTTACGAAGAAGCCGCGCATGCGCTAGAAAAAGGGATGACAAGAAGCTATCAATTCAATCATTGGCCTTGCCCTTATACTACCGGAATCCTCCCATTCTATAAATATCTCCGTACATATATATCGTGCTGTGAAATGGGTACATTGGAAGTAAAGCGGTGATTGCGTGTTCGTTTCATGTGCAGTCTGTCTTTTTTTTTTCGAAATTCATATCAAGTCCTCACTGGCCATTTGCTTTGTGATCGCTTGAAACAGTTTAGTCATCACGAGGAAAAAAGTAAGGCGTTAGAAATTTCAGGAAGGTCTCAAGATTGGTTATCCTCATGACGACCGGAGCACGGAAACACCTGAGGGACGCTCGTGCAATCCGATACCAGATCAAGAAAGATTTCTTCCCATAGGTTAGCTTCATTCCTTGATTCCTTCATCTATAAGCAGTGACAGAGCCTTCTAGTGGGCTAATGTGGTCTCGCTCAATATGCAATATGATCTCCTTCTTTGATGTTTCTTACCGGCTCTATTTTCAAATTTACGTCTTGTGTCGCTACAAAAATTTTCAGTTTGATTCATTACTTTTCTTCCTCGAAGAAATCACATTGATTTGCCATATTTTGTAAACCATTGCAAGCCTAACGTTTAGCCAATGTTGCACGTGTCATGAAGCGAATGATACCGAGTAGTGGGAAGATTGCGAAGGACGCTAAAGAGTGTGTTCAAGAATGTGTTTCCTGAATTTATATCATTCATAACTAGCGAAGCAAACGATAAGTGCATGAGTGTAAGTTGAAATTTCCACTGATATTTTTTGTTATATGAAGGATGTATTGTGATTCAAGGAAAAAAGAAAGACAATAAGTGCGGATGACCTTTTGGAAGCGATAAACAATATGGGATTCGATAACTACGTGGCTCCTCTTCAGTTATTTTTGGAGAGGTGCGATCTAGTGGATGTGATCTCGAAATAAATCCTGCAGAACTTTTTTAGGTATCGAGCAGCTCATAAATTGAGTCCTGGCTTCAGCAATTCAAATACTTTCTCAAGAACCTTCAGTGCGGCTTCTAATCCCAGCCCGACGGGGATTCACAATGGCACGTGGGACTAGGGTTTTTATGTTTGGAATATTTGTTACTGACATTGTCGAATACTGGATAGAATTTGCAGGAACCTCTTCGAGTGCGGCACTCAGTCGAGAATATTCATCTCGAGCTATGATGGCGTCATCGCAGCCGACTTCCACGTCCACAGTAGCTACACACTCATACCAGGTGAGCAAAATATGTATGATCTATGTACAGGGTGTCCCAAAATTACTTGCGCCAAATTTCAAAAATTCATTAGAAAAGGTATATCGATTATTTTCATTTGGCGCGCTACTAAATAGTTGTGCAGGTAGGTTCTCTTGTGAACTGCATCGTTATTGGGGTAAAACTGCCAGTATCTCTGAGATGGCGAGAGGTGATCCAAGGTGACCTGCGATCATTCGCGTGCGCGAGGAAGAGACTGCATCGTAGGACATTATTAATTTCTTGATGACTACGTGAACACAGTACAGATGGCCAACAAACGATGCAGGAAAATAAGAACACTCATTCACAAGCCTGGACAAGGAAGAATGGTCAGCGTTTCACGGATAGAATCATCGAAATGTTTGCTTAGCAATCCACGGTGCTCCATCAGAAGGATGGCGAGGCCGCTGAATTTATCGAAGTCATCGATGGGGCGCATCGTTAAGGAGAAGCAGCACTGCCAATCCTATCACATGCAGAAGTGCCGCTTCATTCTGTTTAGGAACAAGCAGCAGAGAAGCCAAAAAGTTGGAAGGTTACTAGCGCGCTTCCACTGGCGACACGCTACTCTCGATCGTTTTTTCTGACGAGAAAATATTCGCTGTGGAGCCGATGTTGAATCGCCAAAGCGATCACATTCTAGTCAGAAATATCGGGAGTGTCATCTCACGAGGGAAAGATTGTTGGAAGAACGGCTAACTCGGCATCAGTAATGAATTGGTGTGAGTCGCGGCCAATGGTGAGACGCCGTTGAATTTTGCCGATTCATGTGTGAAGATCAGCAAGGACGTGCATGCTGGTGAACGTATTGAAGCCTTGATCCAAGTCCCACTTTGGGAGCAAGCCGTGGTGTTTCCAGCAGGACAGTGCTACAGCCTACGGGGCCAAGCTCGTTCGAGGCAGGTGCGAGCTGCGAGGTGCCCGACTTCGTCGCCGCGAGGAATGGCCTTCTTGCTCCCCTAATCTTAATCACTTGAACTCTCAGTCTGGTTCGTGATTAAGAGCAAGGCATGTCGAGCTCGTCATACGAATCTGCAATCATTGCAAGCAGCATCAAAGGAAGCCTGGGAAGAATTGGATAAGGAATACCTGCGTGCAACGTGCGAAGGTGCAAGAAGAGACTCCGGGCCTGTATTCGTGCAGGTGGAGGACATTTTGAAATCTGGTTGTTGCATGTTGTTGTGTATGATGTTAGTATAATGTTTATATTCAATTACCATTCTGTGTCCAACAGTTCAAAAGACATTGCAATAAATAGGCGCAAGTAATTTTGGGACACCCTGTATGTAGAGAATTTGAAAGATATCAATATTGCTGACCTATCTCAATTTGTTTGGGATAGTTCGCAGAGGAAAATTTGTAACAAATCCTGTCGGACATTCATTAACCAAAGTACCCGTGTGTAGGGGGGGGGGGGGGACGTCGCATAACGGGCTCTCATGTTTGTCGGTTGCTTAGCCGTGGGCAATGTCAGACTTTGCGATTTGAGCGACTGGCACCAATTTATGAGCTGGCTCCTCGAGAGTGTGTCCTCCAACGTTGACTCTAACAGAAGCCTGACTCTAGGTCAGCGTTAGGGTAAGATTGAGGCAGACCTGGTTGGGATTGACGTCAGGTTATAATTAGGAGGAGTCAGAGTTGGCGTAGGCTTTGAAGAGCCAGCTTATTTCGGTCTAGGGCATTTCTTTGCGATTCCAGCGATTTTCACGATTCGAGCAACTCCAGTGATCGCGCTAGTCGCAGAAATCGTTGTTCAGATTGGAGCCAATCGACACAAATCTTAAATTATGACACCGGCCAATTGCGCTACCATCTTGTAGAACTGAAGTTAATTAATTCAGGCGACGACATCATCTCATGGATCACCTGACCTCGCACCGGTAAGCTTCTGAAGACAGCTTATATTCGCTATGTATCCACGAGCGGGTCCATGCTGGGTAGGAGGTGGAAGCCTCGCACTAACCCAGCGCCCTATCCAGTGGGCAGGAATGCTGCCTCTGCCTCATAGCTAGCAAGCATGAGCGCTGCCTTCAATAATCTTGCTTATCTTCCAATGTTCAGAGTACGTCGTCTTCCAACGGAGCTCCAGTTGTACTTGCCAGTGGACTTGCTGGAATGTCTGTAACGGCATTACAGCAACAACCTATGCAAATTTATATCGATCCAGCAAGCAAACAGCATTATATGGCAATCGAAAGTTGGTTCAAGTGTTAAATCACTACACTACATATACGTACTGTATGTACCGTATGCGGATGAGGTTTCGATTAGGTTCTTTATAATTTACAGCTGAACAAGGAATGCAGCTATACCCAATACAAATACAAACTGATGGCCCTGTCGCGTATTCTTTTGCCCCGGAAGTGTCCACAGCAGTGTCGTCCAATGCTGGCTCTGGCAATCAGGTGCCTGAAGTAATATTTTATAAATCGATTCATTTGGTTCAGTGGTGTGTTTCGTCTTCCTCACTGACTACCTTTTTAGACATTCATAATGATGGCTGCGGCAGACGTGGATGACCCACATGCTAACACATTGGCCGCTCAGTCAGCTTCACGAGGGCAGTCGACGGCAACGAAGTAGCTCACCGTCTTGTGCTGATCAAGCATTGAGAACTCACAGCCATAGCGACTTTAACCGTCACCAACCTCGAACTGCACCTACGACAGCCAATTTTGTCAGCCATGCTGCTCACAGTGAAACGGTAAGTGGTCTTTTTCCATGACTTGGTTTTTCTTGTTTTGTTACTGCAGATTGCAATGCGCAGCTGTGTCAGTTCTTTTACACGTTGACGACATCGCGCGTTTTGGGTTTTTGCACCGCGTGGGACAAGGGCGCTTTTGCGAGCGCGGCCGTCACACCTCACACCCGTAAATTTCGAACGATAACCTTGGGAACTTCAAAGGTAGGAAGCCGTTTCTGCAAGATTCGATGCGTGTAAAGTAATCATTTCATTTCATTTCATTTCATTTATACATGCAGGACGCATGTGCAAAGATTAGGAGTTATTAAAACAAAACCAAAAGACAAAACAAGGCAAAGCAAAACAGCAAAGTAAAGCAGGACATAACGAAGTGTAAAACAGAACAATGAATCATTTATTAGGACGGTGGAGATAATGGAAGACCGCCTTTCTGAAACTAGAGAATAAGGGCGTTATTTGCACAACCTTGCTCATTTTTGAGAATTCCATGCCTGCACGAACTGTGAAGAACCTGCGCCCAACTGTTGAACGTGGTTGTCGGAAGGAAAGCTTAAATTTTTCCCCCCTTGTGACTGAAGGCACTAGTTTATAGAAGGCGCTACCATCGATATCAATGCGCTTATGAAGAATATTGTATACCATAAGAATGTCGTTCCTCCTAGCCTTGAAAATAGCGGGTCCAAATTGAGCAATTTATTTCTAACTAGTCCACGAGGTATGCTGGCATAATTGAAACCTAATGTTCTAACAAATAATTTTCTGTGAAACCATTCTGTACCTTTTCTAGGTTGCCCAAAAAGGTTTTAGTATGTGGGAAGTAAATGCACGTGCCGTACTCAAGTACTGAAGCGCACAAATATTTTATAAGCTTTGACAAGCATGGTCGGATCTTTAGATTTGAATGTCTTAAACAGCAAAAACACTCTTTGGTTGGCTTTCGCTATAATATTTTCTTAGATGATCCTCAAAACGCAGTTTAGTATCAACAAGAAAGCCCAAGTCCTTAACCGTATCAGTTGCGCCGAGAACGGAACCGTCAATGTAGTATTGCATTTTGGGATTGTTTTGACCGAGATGGAGAACTTTGGTTTTATGCACAGATAAAGGAAGATGATTGGTTTTCGACCAACGCGAGATTGCATCAATGGCTTGCTGAAGCGGATTTGAGCAGCTGCCAACTCCTCTATAAATCTTCAGGTCGTCGGCAAACATTTTCACTTTAACGTCAAAACCTTCAATCAGATCAGGCAGGTCGAACGTGAAAATATTCAAATAAAATGGGAGACAGGACACTCCCTTGTGGGACACCACTGGGAGCGCTCTTGAGAAAGTACGCTGTTTCGGAAAAGCCTCGATCCATTTGATTATTCTGCTATGAATGCCCACTAGAGCAAGTTTGTCTAATAGAACGGTGTGAATTACTCTGTCGAAAGCTTTTTCAAAATCAAAATATATGACATCCAAACTATTCTTAACATCCAATTCTGAGGACCAGTCATTGAGGGACTCCAACATAGCTGTGATAGTAGACCTTCTTTCTCTGAATCCATGCTGATGAATCGAAAGAATATGATTGTGTTCTAAGTAATCGAAGATGTAGTAGCGAAATTCCGATCAAAAAAAAACGTGAAATGGTAAAGAAAATTGGAATTTTAAGTCCTTTTCTCTGTAGTGGATGCCAAAACTGTTTTCGATGTGGATGTGTCAAATGAGACATATCTTTCTATCCCCATAGCTTACAGCTTGTCAGCATTCACACGCGTGTTGAGCCGGTTAGCCGATATCGGCAATGACCGCTAAGCTGAAGCGTTAGCAGTGATTTGACAAGTTATGGTAAGTATACCATGAAAAGCTGAGTTGGAATGAAATGGTGCCCCGGTAGCGTAACTGGTAGCGCACTTGCCCGGAAAGCGAGAGGTGCGGGTTCTAGTCCCGCCTGGGGCGAAAGTTTTGTTCACAACCCAGCATTCTTGTGAAACATTCGCAAGGCGGCCAAAAACAGCAGTTATTAAAAAAACAGGTCAAAAACTATTGAAAACTTTTGTCGCATCTGAGTATTGCGCATTTACAGTGCAAAATCCATGGATTTGGTGTGAGGCGGCGGCGCTCGCAAAATCGCTCTTGTCCCACGCGGTAAAAAAGCAAAAACGTGCAATATCGTCAATTGTAAAAGACGATAAATGTGACGCAGTCTGCCAATAGTGTTATTTTCATTCGCGTCTCGTGTGTTTGGCCTTTCATAATATCAACGTACTCAGGCTCGGTCCGCCTCTCAAAAGCGTCACGGGCCTGCTGGCGGCAAAGGTAATGGAGGAAAAGCAATAGCACCGTCGAAGCGTGTTCGTCATACCTGACTCACTCATCCGGTCGGTGTCTAAAGTAGACATGCGTTCCCCATTATGTGTCACAATCAATTCTCATCAGGATTCTTGAAGGCTGACCATTTTGCTGGAGCTCGACGGCTCTTTCCAGAAGAGGCAGATGATCATCTTTCTATAGTCTCAGCCTTGTTTTCACTTATGTCAGATGTACGAAGTTTCTTGATGGAATTATATCCTAAATGCTCAGATCTCAAATTTAGCTTTTCCTCAACAAGGACAGCTACTCTGTTGATTTCCATATATGCAAGCATGCCACATTGCTCTGTTTCACTGCTCTTTTATTTATTCGTTAAAATTTCTTCAATTTACTTCCAGTACTTTTTTCATTAATTTTTTGATTTGATGTTTTCATGAGTTTCTTATTGGTTTCTCTTTCCTCATTGTTGCCTAATTTCATGTGCTTCTTATCATAAGTGTGTCCACATGCAGTGTGTTCATTGTGTCTCAACAGAATAAGATCTCTCCATTTTTCTTCGATTTCCCAGACAGAAGTGAATAATTTTGTCCCAATTTTCTTCAGCCATACTTTATGAAGTTATAAATTCGCGTAACTCCAAAGTAAAGAAGCCGCCGTCCTAAAGTTGCCTATTTTCGTTTTGTAGTGAGGCGTTTCAAAGGTATAGGTTCACTTGGTTTTCCACCCTTCCGTTTTTACAAATAAGCTGCGAGGATGACTCGTCATTGCTTTCTCTTCCTCGTAGGTATAGCAGTACCGTACCAGGCGGAAAGCAGTTGATGGAAAAGCAATTGCCGTTGATCAATCCCTTTTTGGGATGCGGCACGCATTCTACTTCCATTTGTACATTCGTAGTGGCGTTTGAATGCGATGTGGCCTATACAATGACTTGCGGGGGCCAGCCGATGTAAAGTCAGTGTTTTTATCCTCTCAGACAAGTCTGGTACCAAGTAACTGACGCACCCCTTACCACCACACCGCTTCCGCCCCTCGAAAGCAGTTATCGGAAGGAAAAGGTAAATCACTACTTCAAAGGGTATGGCTCAGAAATCGCAGCATCCTAAAAAACAATCTTTACACTTGACCAAGCTTGTGAAACAATGTGTAGTCCTACGGCGGCAATAGGAAAATCGGAGCATTGCGGAGCCTTCTGAGGGGCAGAGACGTCGAGTCCATGAAGCTGTGTCCAACCCTGGGAAGAATGTGCAGCGCGTTTCCACACTGTTCAGACAGTATTGATCACGCCATAAGGACCAAGCACGTTCAAGGAGCCCCGACTTCTTTGAGGCAGGAAGCACGTAAGCTGGGTGGATCGACGGGAGAAGGGATTTACAGTGGTGTTATGTAATATAACGATGCACAGGATGGGGTAGCTTTCTTGGATGAAGGGGAGTCTAATCTGGACGGCACTGAAACGAACCACCTTATTATCGCGATTGCCATGCTTTTCGAGAAAAAAAAAGAGCTTATGCTCAGGCTTCCACATTAGCTTAGGCTTATAATTATGCTTAGGCTTAGGCTTAGGCTTAGGCTTAGGCTTAGGCTTAGGCTTAGGCTTAGGCTTAGGCTTAGGCTTAGGCTTAGGCTTAGGCTTAGGCTTAGGCTTAGGCTTAGGCTTAGGCTTAGGCTTAGGCTTAGGCTTAGGCTTAGGCTTAGGCTTAGGCTTAGGCTTAGGCTTAGGCTTAGGCTTAGGCTTAGGCTTAGGCTTAGGCTTAGGCTTAGGCTTAGGCTTAGGCTTAGGCTTAGGCTTAGGCTTAGGCTTAGGCTTAGGCTTAGGCTTAGGCTTAGGCTTAGGCTTAGGCTTATAGGCTTAGGCTTAGGCTTAGGCTTAGGCTTAGGCTTAGGCTTAGGCTTAGGCTTAGGCTTAGGCTTAGGCTTAGGCTTAGGCTTAGGCTTAGGCTTAGGCTTCCACAATAGCTTAGGCTTATAATTATGCTTAGGCTTCCACATTAGCTCAGGCTTATAATTATGCTTACAAGGACAGGCTCCCAGATCGCCATGGCCATTCAAGAAGAGATGTATACCACTGGATGGACATGCCTTTTGAATGCCCTAATCTAAAAATCTTCCTTATAGTTTGCTAAACGATTCTCAGGATAGGTGTGTATGAAGCAAAACAGTGCAACGGCAGTGGTCGGGATTTGCAGTAAGAACGTCGTAAGGATCGGCCCCTAATCGCGTCTACTGTCTTGTGTTCTTCAGAGATTAGGCTGAACAGGCTAGTAGAAGCATTTTAGCTGTACTCCTAAAAAGGGCAAAACAGTATACGCGATCGGGGACCGATTCTACGACTTTCGTCTGCAAATAATGACCACTGCCGTTGCACTGTTTTGCTTCATAACTCTATTCCGAGAACTGTTCAGCAAATTTGGAAGGTAGATTTGAGATCAGCGTTCAAAGGCACATGTAGCGGTACAAATCACTTTTTGAATGGCTACGGCGACCTGAGAGCCTTTCCTCTTAGGCTTCCACAACAGCTTTAGGCTCCGGTATAATTATGCTTAGGCTTACATTAGCTTAGGCTTCCACATTAGCTTAGGCT